CCTCTTGAAAAACTACTCCCTCGAGTCTCGGCAAATGATCTCAACCCGCCATGCTTGTTTGACTTTGGCTTCTGGTTGCGTCCTTGGCGCTTCTGTTAGTATATCAGTAACATTCTAGGTGTTAACTTTCGACTGAGTTAGATATTTGGTAATGCTCACTTGATGCTTCTATACAATTATCTTGCAACCTAACTGGTTCTGTTTGATGATGCCGCTGCCGTTCATTCATCTTGCCTCTTCGGTATTTTCGGGGAAATGGATACTCGAAAGCAGACTGACCAAAGTAATAAGCCTCTATACTTTACTTTAGCGCTGGACCCTTCAGTATTGCTATTTTTGCATCGTCTCGTCATAGCCCTACATAGATTTCTCGCTTAGACTGCATTAAGACATGAAGTTCTGTGCATATGCGCAAAAGACTTCTTCTTTGAGCCTACCGTACCCAGATCGGCATTGCAGCTAGAAGGGGGGGAAAAACCAGCAACCGATGGTGAGGATAAATTAATATTGCAGGAATGTGATTTTTAGTTTGAGAGATGTGATTGGAATACGAGATGGAAGTCATGGCTTCCTTGGCGATTTGAAAGTCGGGAGCTTCAGTTGTGGACATCCAACATGAATGATTTGAACGAGAGAATATTGCCGAAACCTCGAGTTCAAATGTCAGTCTCCTTGGCACATCAGTAGAACGCATACTCTCTTTCAATCATGTAAATTAGTCTCTGAACAACATGACACATGTACCACAGAAAATTCTTCTCTTTCCAAGTAAAATCCTATTTTTTTCTGCTTTCTATGCTGCTTACAGTACGTATTTAAAGTCAAATGCAACTCTCCACGCCTTTTATCCAGCACTTGGGAAGCGTTCAATGATAGCCAATAGATATTGGACTTTGTCTATGTCTTCCGAAGATTGGAAGTCAGTATGATCCGCGTTTGCGGGTTGATGGGTATAGCAATTGTATCTTTGGCACAATGTCGACAAGAGACTTCCGCAAGCTCATGACATAGATACCCAATCCCAGTCCCACTTCAAATCCCTGAACGCCAAATTTGGTAATGCTTGCTGACAATAGAAAAAGACCCAAGAAAGAAAACTCCTTATGCTTAATCCCAGAACAGGGCACTGATGGATTCTCCATGGTGAACACGACGGATGGCCTCGGCGAAGACCTGACCAACATCCAGAACCTCCAGCTTGGGACACAGTCGGAGGTGCTCATCCTGGGGAACACTATTCGTTACAACGACCTTATCCAATGGGGAAGCATTGATCCGATCAATGGCATCTCCGGAGAAGACACCGTGAGTGAGGAGCGCGTATATCTTAGTCGCGCCCTCCTTCTTTAGAAGCTTAGCAGCTCTGGTGATTGTGTTTGAAGTATCCGCCAAATCATCAACCAGAATTGTTATCCTGTTTGCAACATTTCCTACAAGCATCATGGTGGCATTCTGTCGGTCTGTGATTCGAGTGGGTCGGCGTTCCTAGGAGTATAAGTTTGCGCAGGTTTTACAATCTGGGGAAGTTTTACCTTGTGGATCAATGCAAAGTCAACATTCAGATCATCCGCAATTGCAGTTGCCCTCTTCGCTCCGCCTGCATCTGGACTGACGATGACGGCATCCTTGAAATTGGGAATCTTGGTCTGGATATACTTCTTGAGCAACGACTTTCCGTACAAGTTGTCTACTGGAATGTCGAAGAAGCCTTGGTATTGAGGATCATGCAAGTCCATAGTGATAATGTGATCCGCACCAGCACAGGTTAGAAGATCTGCTACAAGCGTTCCAGCCTGAGCAACCCACTGCTTGTAACCTGGCTTCGGCTGAAAGATATTTTTGGCATCCTTCAGCATCGTTTGGTTCTCGTAGTCATGGGTAGTGAATGCTGGGGCTTGTGATCCTGAGTTACCCCGGCCGCGGCCATTCAAGGAGACGAGCGAGTCATTGGTATCAGATCTTCTAGGTGGGGTAATGCCATTTGGGTACGAGAGACCGTTTTGTTGCTCCAGCGATGCCTTACCCAGCTTCTTCTGCAATCCTTCCATCCCATTTCCGTTTGCAAGGCCTTGTGTTTGTGGTCCTGCGCCAGGTGTAGGAGGGCGACTTTCGAAAGTGAAGTCGCCTCGATTGAGGCTGGTAGGAGCTTTCGAGAGGGGAGCTCCGACCTTGTTGTAAGGGAGGTCTGGTTGTCGCGAGTAGGGGAACAAAGGCAGAATCGCTGTGACTTGTTTGGCAGATCCTGTTTTGCATGCAGAGATCATGATACATAGATCGACGAAGTGATCGTTGACATTGCCGCCTCCAGATTGGACAATATAGACATCTTTTCCTCTGACGGAATCTTGGATCTCCAAGCGGCTCTCTCCGACAGAAAATTTCTTGAGAATGCGATTGCAAGGCGGCACACCAAGAATGTTGGAGATAGTATTAACCAACTGAGGGTGGGAATTGCCCCCAAGAACGACTATATTGCGGACCATTGTGAAGTACGAGGATTAGGTATCCGGTGGTTCTGGTTGGAGATCGAAGAGGATATCGTCGGTGAAATGCGGGATTTCAAAAAGTGGGCAGCCGCGGCAAAATTGCTATGGATGTCGTGCTCGAAGGACGAATTGAACGGCAGAAGAGGATGAGCAAGAGAAGAGAAGAGAAGGGAGAAGAGGGCTATGACGAGAGGAGCTGGCGGCGGCGGGTTTGATGTGTGTAATCCATTTGATATCGGACTGAGGATTTTTTGACTGGAGAAAAGGTTGTCGCGAGGCAAGTAGAAAAATGCGTCAAAGAAAAGTTCGAGCTCGGGCAGGCAGACAGCTTCAGGCTAACTCGGAAGCAGTTAGTCACTGGCGGGGTTGGCTGCAAGGCTGTCAGTCATGCTTGTGTTTCCATTCCAAAGAGAACTTCGAAGACACAGAACGCAAATATATGCCTCAAAATAAACGATATAAAACCCACACATCATCATATGTTTCAGACCTGACCGCTCAAGCAATGGAAGCTAGACCTGCATGTCTAGCTTTGTTTCCTTTTCCTTGTCCTTCTCATTTGAGCCCCTAGCTGCCGTTTTCATGTGCTGCTCGCTTAATTTTTGAACGACAAGGCTGCAGATTGTGAGCGGGCAGAAAATTGCCCAGTTGTACATCTGCGTGCTTGACATCCTGCTTCTGATTGGAAACCATCAACAGAGCCTCAGACCACTCAAAGCTTACGCAGGTCACACTTTCTGACCGGTACAACTGATTGCACCTGTCTATCTCCTATTGGCCATCACAAAGCCCTTGGTAAGCATTGTGTCAATCCCTCGTGCCGGTGAACTGACCAAACAAGCCATCATACCACAGTCATGAAGATCCTGGAAGCCCAATCAGCGACTCTCACCAACTACGAGGTATATCAACATTTGACGGAGCAGAGATCACGATATGCCAAGAAAGGTATCAAAGGAAGGCGGCCAGGAAACCTCGAGACGGTTGTGAAAGAGGTACAGTACCCCGCACCTGCAGCACAGCCCTGTTTGTGTCTCATTCTGACAAGGATTGCTTCCAGCTCCTCGAATACTTCCACGAAGCTCCCTCGCCCCTTGCATCTAAGCCATTGCCTTACAATGACCAAACTATCGGCATTCTCCTCGAGCGCCTCCGTCCATTCAACTTCACCAAAGCTGAGATCCTGATGATCATGAATCTCCGGCCAACCAAGGCCGAGAGCTTGAATACCATAGTGGAGGAAATGGATGACAGGTTTACCGATGACCAGCAGTACGAGATCGTGGGAATCATTGCTGAGGTCCTGGGTACGGCGGATGGTAGCGCAGAAAGACAGGCTATGAATGATCAGGCAGAGGTGCTGAAGAACCAACGGCTGGACCCAAAGATGGAAGTGGAGGGATAGATTGGCGGGAATGCGTCTGTCTCTGCTGGCGTTTGGGAAGGGCGTTTGTGGGATACTTTGACCTGGTCAACACTTTGGTGGACGTTTGATTCCCTTAATTCTATACGTTCTATTTTCTGATACCACTTGAATGCCACGCCTTGACATTGTCATTTTATGATCGCCGATGAGATCTCGCTTGAGTGGCTTCGTTTTGATTCTTTTCATGCTTGTGCCTGTGTCAAGGTACTCAACGTTGCTACTTTACAGAAGAATCGGTTCATGCCTTCCTGTATGTATGTGAATCTGCGAAAGCATTTTGCCGCATTCTGTTCTTCTGTAGAGGTAACAATGTTATGCTCGTATATTGATAACCTTGTAGGCTGAGAAGAATGTGATATAGCACCGGCAAGCGTGCTAGCTGAAGTCCGTACAGCGCTTATGATTGTAAAATCTCACAATCAAATGCATACTTGCATCGCGGTTCTGAATCAAGAACTGAAGCAGGACAGGTGCATACATGAATTTGCATTTAAAGAACACAACGCAACATTATCACAGAATTCATGGAGAAAATGACAAGGGAAGCTGCATTGCTCCTAAGGGCCACAGTGGCTTCACGAAAAGAATCTTTTGACTGACACAGCCCATGAGATCCAACGAAACAAATATTCTGACAGAATGACGTTCTCGGTTCATGCCACTAAATCAATGAGCGACTTCAAATCCCGTCCAAATTTCTCCTTCTCAGGTGGCCTGATATATGCCTTTGTATATGAACGGTACCCGTCCAGCCCCATGGGACTTTCAGACGTGTCCAGCTGTGTTCTTACAATTTTTGCTACCAACATCAGCATCACTGTCATTCATGTTCTTCACTCACTTGCACAATACAAAGCACGATGCATATGCGCGATGCGCATGCATTCACAAATTCTTTCAAGCGCAGACTCCATAGCAAATATTGATCACACCTCAAGCCACCGGCTCAACCTCGGCTTCTCACTCCCCCAGCAACACCATCTCGCTTCTCCCCAAAATCAACAAACAATGTCCACCACGAAAAACCAACCCTCTCGAAAAAGACCAAAAACATCTCAAGAAACAAAAAAAAGTCCAAAAAACGAAATTGGCCAGAGAAGGAATCGAACCCCCGTCTTCACATTATCCTTACACCCACCAGCAGAGCCTATGAGTACAGTACAGTACAGTAGAATTAAACAAACGCTAACCCGACAGTTCCATGCGTGTGACGTTCTAACCATTGAACTACCTGGCCTCGGATGTGTTTGTTGATGAAGAAATGTCTTATCTGGTTACATGCTCGAGATACGTGAAGGTTTGGAAATCGCGGCTCGGAGTTTTCCAGGGGTTGTGGACTGGGCTGGTGGCTGGGTGAGAGCGTGTGGTGCAGGTGGGTGAGGATGAGTTCAGGTTTGACGCGTCGGTTCTGTTGTGTGCGGGCGTGATGGACTAACTGACAAAGACGGTATGAGGTCTGATATGCATCTGCTGTTACTGTACCCAGCTCTCAGGTCATTGAGCATCTGAGGGTGTTCTTACTATTGCAATTTGAAAGTCTTTTAATTTGGTGAAGACATTCAGTACACGTCTGAATATCTGGATATTCTGAGCAGGATTATTTTACATTCTTTCACGCAAGATAAAACACTTCTTTTGTGAAACCAAGGAGCGGATCAATCTTTGTTTCTGTTCAATCAACACAATTATGACAGTGGTAGCACACACTACTGTCTTCGCGCTTTTGCTTGAAAGATGTGTACATCCTTCATTAGCTTTACGATGTCAGACTATTTTCTGATGGAAGCTTTCTCGGTAGTCTCACCACTCCCAAACTTTCAGTCCCGCTCTCTATGCTTCTCCAAAACCTCAACAAGGCGCTCCAGATGCGGTGGGTCTTCGTTAGAATCCCTGAGCTGCAAGTCGAAAACTTGGTGCATTTCAAGGCCTTCGAAATGGATTTTCTGCTTTGGATGTTCAACAGCTCCGATCCCTCTGAGCCTCCAATTGATTATTCGGAGCAGTATGTCAATTTACCTAATGCCAGGAAAGATTCTATTGCGATGTCAATGAGAGGTTCCTTCCCGGTAACTAGTAGATCGACTACCTCCATATCCAGTTACCCAGTTCTGTAACCCAAGCCAGTCTACTGGAGAAAAGTCAACTTGTTAGTCAACAACTTGAATCAAGGTTAGCAGGTCAGCAATTGTTCAACATCGATCTTGACTCAGATCTGGTGTCCTATAGATCTCCTTCTAGATCGACTAGGTATGAAAAGAGCCTGGTATTGCATTGAGTCAAGGCCCCAAACTTCTTTTCTTTTCGGACAAATCCTCACGATCAACCAAGTCATTTCACTTCAATTATTTGCCCTTTGACTGAAGGATCGATCTTAGCAACCTGCATCTACCGAGCCTCTGGTGGTGATACCATTATCCTCTTCAATGCGTGAATTTGGTTCCCATTTGCGGACTACAGATCATTCAACTCTCCTTCAATCCCACCATCCCACATCAACGGGTAATATCCGACCAAGTTATAACTTTCGTGCCTGCGGAGGCCGTGTCAAGTCCTTGGATTCCGACCATAGTCATTGGGCAAAGGCGGATAGCATGGCTAGAAGTAGCAGCCATGTTCTTAGCTGCCTGTTGTGAACCGACAGCACAGAGGATATTGTCCATAAACTCCTCCCGAAGGAATTGATGTGCCGATTAGCTCTTAATTTTTCTTTCGATTTGTCTTTTCTTGGAATTTTGGCGATGTTGTTTATCTGCTTTGGGCGTACTGGTTTGACAAATCATGATACTCATGTCGTCAAAGCTATCACAGTCTCTCGCGCCCATGTCATTTAGCACCTCCAGAGGAGAGATAAGCCTATCTGGTGAACGTAAATTGGGTATTTAGCAGTCTGGAAGGGATACGCAGAAAATCGGATTGAAATTATTCCCGTCGATATCTGAGTTGGGATCTCTATTGTCGCGGACATTTTCGTGATAAACTCCGCTCTATTTGGACAAACCCAAGTGTTTGGACCATCTACCCCCCAGAACGGCGTTTATGTCACGATTCTCCTGCCATCTTCCAACCGAGATATCCCTCCATTGATGGCGTATAGAAGGATTTACGTTTATACTTAGTCAACGGGAGATCCTCAAAGAGCCTTTTCACCAAGTCCGGATTGGAGGTGAAATGCCTTCCAAAAGCCACGAGATCAACTCTCCCTGGTTGTTGTTAGCATGAAGAAGCCTACTCCGCAATTGCTACAGAGTACTCGGAGAGGACAGTCTACCTGTTCCGACAGCTTCTCTGGCAGAATCAGCATCATACCCTCCTGCCCCAATAACGGGTGTTCCACGCAGGGCCTTCCTAAACGGCCACAAAGACATATCATTACCACCCAGTTGCTCTCTTTCTACGTCCTTGACTTCCGTCACGTCCCTCCGAACAGCGAATGCACCTTCTAAGCTAAACTGGTCATACCGTGGCTCGACCATGTGAACAAACGCAAGCCCTCGCTTCCCCAGCTCTGTTGCGTAAGCAGTGAACGTCTCAACACGATTGGCGTCACAAGTCTCTTGAAGGACATGGAAGGGAGCAAGGCGAATGGCGGTTTTGGTCAGACCAATAGCAGATATGACGGCGTCAACGACGAGGAGGGGGAAGCGTAGGCGGTTAGTGAGTGAGCTGCCGTATTCATCGGTGCGGGTGTTGATGTTGGAGTGGACGAATGTGTCAAGGAGGTAGCCATTTGCTCCTTTGGAAAATTTCAACACCTGCAACTTGTCGCAGTCTAAAAAAATGAAACGCACCATGGATTTCTACGCCATCAAACCCTGCTCTGATGGCATTCTTTGCAGCAAGGGCAAATTGCTCTACCACGTCTTTGATATCATCTTCGGTCATAGCATGCGAGTCCACGTAAGGCTCTGTCCCATTCTGCTCTCCGAACAAAGGGTGAAGTCCTGCTAGGTGCGCTGAGGTCGAGGATAATGGAGGAGAGCCTCCAGTTTGCGAGGGTACGGATACACGCCCAACATGCCTGAAATGGACAATCTAAGTATCAGCAACAGGTACCTGTGTGTTATAGATCTAAGAACGCCTCAATATGCGAAACCTGCATCCCAATGACACAGAATCAGGGTGACAGGACTCGGGTGAACATACCACAGCTGAGCAAAGAATACTCCTCCCTTCTTCTTGGCCGCTACGGTGATCAATTTCCATTCCTGTACTTGCTCTTTGGTATAAAGCCCAGGTGTATTGGGAAATCCTCTTCCGCGAGGATGAACGACGATTCCTTCAGAGATCAGGAGCCCGCCGGGAGTAGCCCGCTCTGCATAGTACTCCGCTGTCCGTGGGTGAGGAATGCCAGACGCCGAGGCTCGCATCCGCGTCATCGGTGCAAGGACTACACGATGAGAGAGCAAGATGGATGGAGAGAGGAGAAAGGAAGTTTGGAGGGGATCGGTAGTCATCGTTGTTATCTTCAAGGAGGGTCATAAACTGAAGACGGGGATGAAATCAAGAGCAGCGAGAAAGGATTTGTTTTTCGACGTGAGAAAGTAAGATAGTAGAGAAGAAACTTGGTAGCTGGAAGGCTAGATTTGAGACTGGAAAGGAGAAGATGCCGATTCATTGGAACTGCCTCATTCAAGCCCATCAGGATTTTGTCCCTCTACCAGAGTGCAGCAGCTGAAAGTGCGAGACAAAATCTACACCGATACACGTCAAGGACGCTTCCCAGCAATTTTTGATGAAAAAAGACATTACCACACAAAAGCCACACACTGAGATGGGAAGCCCAGGTCAATCTGACTCCTCATTGGCTATTGTTCTGCTAAGCGACGTTAGTCAATGTGTGGTTTCTGTGTGGTGGGTACCTTTTTCCAGGGAAGAATTGATAATGCAATCGAAAAGAAAATTGGTTTGATGAACTTCTTTACATGGCCAGATCCATGGTCACGCGTGAACTACAAAGATCTGTTGAGGAACGCAATGTTTGTCTTCAGCTCGCATAGGAAGCGACGAACACCACTCGCGTGCCACAACTCGAATTTGGTCCAGTGGGGATGTACAGGTTGCCTTGAACTGACGTTGCCTCAAAGCCTGTCCAGAGTAGTATTGGTATTATACTGACCTATCTTCTGGCAATTCCTATGCTTAAGCATGAAGCTAGGCAGTGTGAGCAGATTAAGTTTTTGCTAGTTTGCAAGCTCCGGTGCAATCATGACAGAACCGCGCATAAAAGTTCATGTTATGCAAAGCAGATGTAGGGCATCGACGTTGCCGCAGAGAAGGTTACAACCTGGAGAGGGAGCAGGATAGACCATTGCGATTCATCACCATCGAATGTAAATTAATCGTGCTAAGTTGAGAAATACCGCACTTGCGGGGATTCTGTCGAAGAACTGTCAACGTTGAAGACATGTAATCGAAAAGTTTGATTCGGTAATGTTCAATACCGCGGTTTTATTTTGATGCAAGACACAATAGCGCCACAAGCAAGCCTCCTAAAGAAATACCCTATCATGGTTATAAACCGTAACGCCGCCATATGGACATCCTAACACGCCGATATCCTGAGAAGCATTATGATACAAAAAAGAAAGTCAGTACGACCGACAATCAGTTCTTGCTCTTCTTCTTTTTCTTCTTCTCTGACTTCTCGACCTCGGCATCATCGGCTTTCCGCTTCTTACTGCTGACAGGTGTACTCTGTTCTTCTTTCTTCGCCTTGGCTGGGGTACCTTCGACAGTAATTTTGCCCTTGGCAACCTTCTTTTTGTACTTCTTGAGACTCATACCAGCGGCTTCGGCAAGCTTGATGTCGGGATCCTCGACTTCGACGGTTGTTGCTGGAGGTGCGGTTTCCTTGGATTCCTTCTTGGCCTTCTTCTCTGCCTTCCTCTTTGCTTTCTCGCGAGCGTGGCTGTCATCTGAGGCCTCATCCTCGGACTCGTCCTTGGCAGACTTGGAGTTCTGCGCTATTGGCTTTGCTTTGGTACCGTTCAACTTCGGTGGTGGTAGAGCGAGACCAGCGTCGACGTCGGCCATCTCTTCGTCTGAGTCCGGCTCGGCAACCACTTCCTCAATCAAAAGCTTCTTGGCTTCCTTGGACTTCTTCTCCTTTTTCTCCTTCTTCTCTTTCTTGTCTTTCTTTGACTTCTTCTCAGACACAGGAGCGGCAGCAGCAGGCTCATCACCAGCAAGTCCGTCAGCATCAGCGTTGTACTTTTGAGCCTCCTTGACCTCCCACTT